AGATGGATGAAACTAAAGAATGTGTTTTTGTCATCCAGGGTTTTGGGGGGACTTAAATCTGCTGACCAGATAATTCTTATCTACTTGGTGACCAAATGTTATAATCAAAACCATATTCCAGCCCCCCCCCCATGGTTCTAACCTTATCGAGAAGGCATTTCACTGATAAGCTTCTGGGGTCCCTTGTCATACACTGATCTTCAGCCTCCCCGGCATTCCTGGTCATACCTGGTGATGCATACCCTTCCCAGGGTGATCAAACTTTCTGCTCTTGATTGATTTGAAAGGCAACTTGTAAGGTTTGGCTCCTATGACTGACTGGGCAGTTCTGACCTTCTATAGGAAATTAGAACTACAGGTAACAAAGAGTGGTGGCTGAAAAGGCCACTTAAGTCTAGCAAACTCACACTATAGTAAGTCTGATAGACCAGAAGCAGTAGTCTCATTCCTCTTGTATTTAGTTAAGAATACAGGTTTAAAATAATAAGCTTAACCTTGGAACTACTTTGAACCAAAGAATTATTGGTTGCTCTGGGTATTGTAGGCCAGCATCTCTGGCCTCTACCTACCAAATGCCTGTAGACCCTTTGCAACAATCAAAGCTTATGTGTCAATGTTACCAAATATCATACCCTTCCCACCATTTTGAAAGTCACCGGCTTAGGGTAGTCCCCTGGTGACTCTTACTGAGGCATGGCAAATACATGGCCTAACGTGGTCTAACTAGATTGATAGACTTGGGTTAGGGGGATCCACTCTAAACTTACCATGGATGAGGAAGAAAGCTCCCTGGTCATTGCTGGCAGATTGCTTGTGGCCATACACTTTGGAATTTTATAAGGAGATGAGTGAAAAGCTGAAAGAATAATAGAGAAAAGTGTAAGTAAATGTTCATTATCCAAAATTGAGGTGAGAAAAACAATCCGTGCCAGGCCAAGACTATCATGCCTAGGGATAGCCATATGCTCAGAGCTTCACTGTCCAGTACAGTAACCACCAACAAACCACATGGCCACTGAGGACCTGAAATAGGCTAGTCCAAAATGAGATGTGCTGTAAGTGTAGAATTACAGAGCACCAGGTTAAGTACAAAGTTAAGAATGTATAATATGCCAGTAACTTCTACATTGATTATATGTTGAAATATCTTGGAGTATTAAATAATATAAAATGTTAAGGAAATTAGCTTTACTTGTTTTATTTTCGCTATTTTAATATAGCTATTAGAAAATTAAGTATATGGGTTTCATCTGTAGCTTACATTAAATTTATTTTTTTTAAAGATTTATTTATTTGTGCATACAGAACTGGAGTACAGGCCAGAGGCTCAAGGGTGGCGAGAGGCTTCACCAGAGACAGAGTAGGGAGCAGAACAGGCAGATCGACAAAGTACACTGCTGAGGGGAGCAGCGCGCGCGGGTCAGGAGAGGTCTGCCCTGCCATGTGGTCACCTCTGGGGCAGGTGGGAATCCAACTCATGCGGAAGTGGCTTTAGCTTCTTAGTACTGTGCTTTTATCTGCTGCGCAACCAGGGAGGGCCTAAATTTCTTTTTTAAAAAACATTTATTTATTTATACATACAGAACTGGGGTATGGCCAGAGATGCAGGGGCAGTGAGGGGATTCACCAGAGACAGAGTAGGGAGCAGAGGAGGCAGATCAACAAGTAAGCTGCTGAAGGGAGCAGCAGGAGTGTCTGGAGAGGTCTGCCTCACCGTGTGGATCACCAGCGCAGGGCTGGGGATTGAACTCCCATTGAAGCAGCTTCTGCTTGCTTGCAGTGCTGGGCTTTAACCCTTGCGCCACCAGGGAGGGACCACTCACATTAAATTTCTAATGCATAGAGCTACTCTAACTATCTGGTTTTTGAGATAATAGATTTTTCTTGTTTAAACCAGTATAAGTTAGATTGGTCTATAAGTTAGATAGGAAGCACCACACTTGATAAAAGAGACTGATAACATTTTAAATAGCTTTTTACTGTTCATATACATATAGCAGTTTACCAGTGCATTTCTGGGGGGATGTTTGCTATTTCCTTCACCCCTATACTTTTCTGCCTCTACAATATAAACAAGGCTTCTCTCATCACCCATAATTTTTTACTCTCCATTTGAAAGTTTGTTAAAGGGAATTTTCAAACACAACATTAAACCTGATTGTGATACTCTTTGATCACAGGTAAGAAGTCTTTAGAGGACATTACCACACTAGGAAATTTACTGCACTTTGCAAGAATTTGGTACAGTAGTATCACAGATATTCCATAGAACAATCATGAGAGTGTTCATCAAATTCTGAGTGTTTCTATATGTCTGACAAAATTGATTAAAAAACAACTGGATTTATCAATGGATATTAAGGTAGTAGGGATGTGGTAGAGACCTTAGATTTCAGATCTGTGTAATTTCCTCTCCAAAAATTTTGGAAAATGTGTTAAACTCAAAAGCAGAAAATATTTTTCAGGACTGAAGGAAGTAGACCCTTTAGTCCTTTAAAATATTTCTGACTGGCCCTCCCTGGTGGCGCAGCGGGTTAAAGCACAGCACTGAGAATCTAAAGCTGCTTTCGCATGAGTTCAACTCCCGCCTGCCCCGGAGGTGACCACATGGTGTGGCAGACCTCTCCTGGCCCGCCCGCTGCTCCCCTCAGCAGTGTACTTCGTTGATCTGCCTGTTCTGTTCCCCACTCTGTCTCTGGTGAAGCCTCTCACCCTCCGCATCTCTGGCCTGTACCCCAGTTCTGTATGCATAAATAAATCTTTAAAAAAAATATTTCTGACTACCTTCCACATAAAGGTTTACTAACTAAAATACATCATCATTTTGGTGAATCCTAACTGCCTAAGATTTATCTTAAGGTACTTTCTGTAACAAAGCATCTTAAATGCACATGAAGTAAAATGTAAAGCAATGTTTTAGGTTATTTTTATGAATAATGTCTGGCCTCCCAATTTATGTTGAATATGTTAAATAAAACATTATGCAGAGGCTAGTGTGTTAAACTCACATATATGTAATAAGTAAAGTAAGGGATAAAGGACAAACACACTGAAAATATTTCACCTCTGTATATATGATATAAATTGCACTTGAAATTATAGATTAATCATCTAACATTCTTCCACACAAAGAGAACTAATGTACAGTACACCTGGAAAAGCATACTTTCTCCTTCAAATTAAACATAAAATAATCAAATTTCTTCCCATGATGTATGTAGCATGTTACAGTCTGCTACATCATACTTGTAAAGAGGACATAGTCACACAAATACTAGCAAACTTCTTTGCTTAAAACAGTCTTGGCTAGAGATGATATATGTGTGTGTGCGTATTTTAAGATGACACGTAATGTATTTTCTCTTACAAGTTATTAAAGACTTGGTCAGTATTTTCTTTCTAGATGGGTCAATTGTTTCCTCTAATTGGCAAGTTTCTTTTGTGTGTCTCCTGTGTGTTGGTATTAGGCACTGGGATATGAGGTACAAGAAGATGCCAGTTTACCATGGAGTTTCCAGTCTGCGATAAGTACAAAAAGCAAGAAAACTGGTTAATCACATTTTAAGAGACCTCTCTTAAACTTAGATGCAGTTAGTATATTAGAAATAGAAATCAAAATTTTAATGTTCTTGATGATATACCAAAAAGGACTACTTAAAAATAAATGGATAAACATGGAGCTTCCCTACCACCCAGCAATCCCACTCCTAGTATCTACCCAAAAGACACAAAAACACTGATTCAAAAAGATACCTGCACCCCCATGTTTATTGCTGCTTTATTAACAATTAGAAAGACATGGAAACAGCCCAAATGCCCAAAAATGGATGACTGGATAAAAAAGATGTGGTACATATATGCAATGGAATATTACTCAGCAACCAAAAAAAGGAAACATATGTCTTTTGCAGCAACTTGGATGGAGCTGGAAAAGATCATGCTTAGTGACATAAGCCAGAAAGAAAAGGAAAAAATACCGGATGGTTTCTCTCATAGCAGGAATATAATGGAACAGGTGAGAAAATAATGATAATGATGAACAGCTATATTCCAGAGACATTGTGTGGGGGTGGAGTGAGGTGGAGTGGGGAATGGGATCAAAAACAGTGGGGGAAGGGAAATGCACTGTGTATGGTGATGGCACATGGGTGATTTGGTGATGGGAAACCCAAGGGGATTGCAACTGAGATGGAAAAATGCTCAAAAATATGTAAAAATAAACTATCATAAATTAAAAAAAATGGAATAGGAGTAAGATAGGGTGAAATACTAAAAATCCGTATTTATGACTATCTCAGTTTAGAAGAGACAAAGTAAAAAGCTTCCAAAATAGTGTAAGTGGAGTGACAAAATTTCTAATTTAAAAGTTTACTGGCCAGTGAATGCCAGGGAGTAAAATCGCATTTATATTCTACTTCAATTAGATCATTTGTCTATCAGACAACTGTGTCCTAAGCAAACATGTGCCTCCAGAACACTTTTTTATTTACATTTTTATCTGCGCCAAACATTAAAAAGAGGAATCATTCTTGCTCTTTGTTCAACAGACCCTGAGACAGCATTTTCAAAAACAAAACAAAATAGGCTGTTTTGTTGAAAATATATTTACAATATCCTCCTCATTCCACTCCATGACTAACTACAAATTCTTGTATGAGCTCTAGATCGGATATACCCTATGAAGCAGCCTAAATACTTCCGGAAGCAAAGCCGGCCCCACGGTGATCAGGCACTAGCTGTGCCGAGCGATGGGGAGGGCGGGGGCTTTGGAGGAGGGGTGTGGGAAGATCTGTTTCCATATCAATAAACTCGTTCTGAAAGCGGGTAATCGCATTCTCGCGAGAGGATAGGTCAAGCCGGAAAGCGCACTGGGCTTTGCGCCTGCGCGCGCCGGGACCATTCGCATTTCCGTCCGGACGGTGCTGTCACTCACAGCTTCCTTGCGCGCTGTGCGCCTGCGCCGGCGCCGGCGTGTGTCTCCGCTGAGTGGGGGAGTCCGGAGAGAGAGCTGCCGAGCTGCGGAGCTGCGGAGCTGCGGAGCTGCGGATTTGCCGAGCTGCCGAGCTGCGGAGCTGCGGGCCTGGCGACATTTCGCGCTCTCCGACCTGGGACATTTCACTGGCTCAGAACCAGGTCACTTAGTCGGGAAGAACAAAGGAGTTAGGAAAGAACCTCTCGTCTCCTCCTCCCACCTCCTCCTCCCACTGGCTTACTGTTCCGCTCGTTCCTGTTCGCGGAAGCTGCGTTTATTAACATCACAGGAGCGTAAGTACCCGAATCGAAGGAAGCTCCCTTTGTCCCGCTTTTCTCAGTATCTTTGTTCCGGGAAAGTTTGTGCATTGGGACTGTCTGCTGGGCCTTAATTTCTGCGCCGAAAACCCTTCCGCGGGATCCGCCATTTGCCTGCCTGCTAGCCTGCTCTCCCTGCATTGTGCGGCAGTGGCCTCTAGAGGTTGGAACTCGGCATTGCAGCTAATAGATAGAAACGAACGAATGTGTCTAATGACTGGCATAATGACAGCATAATTAGAAAAATTGGGGACTTTTATTAAAAATTAAGACAAAACATACCCTTACCTCCTATTCTAATTAGAATTGTGTGCAAAGATTTCGATTAATAACAAACTGGTCTTTCTAACTGTTGTAATATCTGGAACTTTTTTAGTGCAACAAGTGGTGTTGAAAGGAGTCTCAAAGACAACAAGATGAGTAAGAACAAAGATGATGCTCCTCATGAACTAGAGAGCCAGTTTATCTTACGCCTCCCTCCAGAATATGCCTCTACAGTGAGGCGGGCAGTACAGTCTGGCCATGTCAACCTGAAGGACAGACTGACAATTGAGTTACACCCTGATGGACGTCATGGAATTGTCAGAGTTGACAGGGTGCCATTGGCTTCAAAATTGGTAGATCTTCCGTGTGTTATGGAAAGCTTGAAAACTATTGATAAAAAAACTTTTTACAAGACTGCTGATATTTGTCAGATGCTTGTGTCCACAGTTGATGGTGATCTCTATCCTCCTGTGGAGGAACCAGTTGCTACTACTGATCCTAAAGCAAGCAAGAAAAAAGATAAGGACAAAGAGAAAAAGTTTGTATGGAATCATGGAATAACTTTGCCTCTAAAAAATGTAAGAAAGAGAAGATTTCGGAAGACAGCAAAGAAGAAGTATATTGAATCTCCAGATGTAGAAAAAGAAGTTAAACGTTTACTGAGTACAGATGCAGAAGCGGTCAGTACTCGCTGGGAAATAATTGCTGAAGATGAAACAAAAGAAACAGAAAATCAAGGCCTTGATATCTCTTCTCCTGGAATGTCTGGCCACAGGCAGGGCCATGACTCATTAGAACATGATGAGCTTCGGGAGATATTTAATGACCTCAGCAGTAGCAGTGATGATGAAGATGAGACACAGCATCAAGATGAAGAAGATATAAACATCATTGACACTGAGGAAGATCTGGAAAGACAGCTACAGGACAAGCTAAACGAATCAGATGAGCAGCACCAAGAAAATGAGGGAACCAATCAGTTGGTTGTGGGAATTCAAAAGCAGATTGATAACATGAAAGGCAAGCTCCAAGAGACCCAGGACAGAGCCAAACGACAGGAGGATCTTATCATGAAAGTGGAAAACCTGGCTCTCAAGAACAGATTTCAGGCGGTGCTGGATGAACTCAAACAGAAGGAAGACCGTGAAAAGGAGCAACTTAGTTCTTTGCAGGAAGAGCTGGAATCACTCCTAGAGAAGTGAGAGCTTTGAAACATAATTTCATTCCTTAGTCTGGTCAGTTTTGAAGGAAAAATCTGGACTTCATTACTTGGACTAATAATTTAACTTTGCAGTGGTCCCCATTTTTTCTGCTGCTTTTTATTTAATTTGTCTCATGGGCAAATAGAAGTGTGAATGTCTCTTTGTCTTCTCAGGACCACTTTGCCAGGTATTTAACTTATAGAAGTAGGATTACGTGGTAAGTGATTGTAGGAAAGTTGCAGGAGTAGTAGAATGCCAATTCAAGCTTGATAATCATGGGTTCATTGCTGGACTTCACTGTTGTACTGTTTTTTAGAAAACAGTGAAGTTAGTTTACATGTTTTTCTGTGCAGGATCTATTTTCTCAGCTATTCAGAGCAATTCTGTACAAGTAGAGTTGCAAAAAGATTGATAAAACTTTTTTTAAACATACAAGCAGCTAATTTTTAGTTTTGTCTTGCTCTTTCAAGGATCATGGTGCCAGATACTCATGAGGTGGTTTTTTGTTGGGGTTTAATGACAGCAGTTTGATTTTATTAGGAAAGAAGGAACACAGCAGGGTAAAGAATTTGGGAGTTGTCATCTTTACATTATGTTAAATTTCCAGTTGACGTGCTCTATGTGGAGGTTAAGAAACATTTGGTACAAAGCCTTCTAAACTACCCCAACTTTTGTGCATGAAGGCTGTTATTTTATAGAAACAACAAAGCAAGACTGTCAAGTGCTATGCAGTGAGTCATTCCATTTTTTTTGTTATTCATAAATATTTTCAACATAATTTCTGCAACTATTAATAATGTCCTGAGAGCTGAGATTTTCTGTCTATGCTAGGTTATCAAAATTGTTCATAAAGGAAGTCAGTACGATGGTCTGATTTTCAAGATTTCTTAAACATAATATTTGTATTATTAAACTTTTTGCACTCTGAATATTCTAATTGAGTAGCTCACATTTGTACTGTTTTTTATAAAAACCAGTGACCAAACTTGAACATTTTGCATTTCTGACATTCTTTTATAAAGAAAAGCTTTGGTTTGAAATTACCTTATGGAGCAAATATTTAAAGCTCATTTTAATTTTGTATTTGGAAATATCAGTGGTGAAATGTTAAGCAAAATTTTCCAGACTTTTCAAGTCTGTAGTCATACTGATATTTGAAGACTTCACAGACTTCTTTTTCACATCTGAGCACCATTTTTCTTTTACCAAAATATATATCATTTAAATATTTCAGTACAGAATATGTAGACTTACGGTTTCTCGATGTCTAAACTTTGGATTATTTCTTAAGGTTTGCCTATAATAAGAGACAACTTTTCTTAATATGTTAGGTATGTGACAAATTCTGGTTTAGGGTACTTTGTATTTTATTATTGCTTTATGTGGATAATTATTTGTTAAAATAGTAAATTATTTATGGCAATGTCAACACCAGTGATAACGGAGTCCTGTCAGTAATGGGAAGGAGGTTTTGCTGCACAGAAAAACAAAATGGCCTTGTGATTTCATTACTCTCATACCTATTTAAGGGTTCTGCGGATTCTCCTCTCTTTATTTCTAAACTGATCTCTTCTGAGCTCCACATGGAGTATTCAGCTCTGTGTTGGAAATGCTTTTAATTATTTCTCACACATCTCAACCCTCAGTATTCAAAATAAATTCATCATTTTTTCCTTGTTGGTTTACTAATGGGCAATAGCTTCCATCTTTATGTGTATAAACATTTTATCATGTAGTTTGACTAAGTCACCCAAGGGATATTTCTAAGAGACTGGATCATGTCACTCTAATGCTCAAACCTTTAATGACAGATCATTGCTTTTGGGATTATTTATTTATAGTTCTTAAAAAGACATGGTCATGACTTCCATTGACTTTAAGAGTCTAGTCTCACTATGTTCAGTCCATATAAAGCTTAACATTTTTTACAAGGACACTAACTCTTGAACCTATTAACAAACTCATCACTCCACCTAGAAAACTCTTACCTTTTATTTGGCCTACTCCTACTTAAGTCTCAGTTCTAAACATAAGTATCTGCCAAGACTTTTCTTTATTTCCAGGTTGAAGCATGCTGTTATTGCTTTGCTTGGAGTCTATTCTGTTTTTCAGATATTTATTGTGCAAGTACCAGATGCTGGATGTGAAAGTACAGAACTAAGTATGTTTTAGTGTTGAGTTTCATGTACTCTAATGGTATGCTGGGATAAGCATGCATATCATACTACAGTGTAAATTACCTGTGTTCATATCCGTTAGGTACTTTAGTTTGTTACAGTCAACTTAAGAAAAGAAATTAAAAACTTAAGAAAAGAGATAAAAAAAAATCTCAAGGTTGAGAGATAAGAGTGCCTGGGTTTGTATCCTAGAATAGTAATTTGCTAGTTGTAAATTGTAGGAAAGCAAGTTTAAAATACATTTATTAGTAAAACAAAGACTGAGTATACTATTATTATTGTTTTGTTGGTTTTTGAAAAACTTGATTCAGGGGCCTCTCTGGTGGCACAGGGGTGAAAGGCTCAGTGCTATCAAGCTGTTGCCATCGAGTATGGCATGAGTTTGATCCCCAGCCAGGGAGCTAACCCACATGGCACAGCAGACCTCTCCTGTCTTGCCTGCTGCTCCTACCTGTTCTGCTCCCCACTCGGTCTCTGGTGAACCTTCTCACCCCCTGCACCCCTTGCCTACACCCCAGTTCTTGTGTGCACAAATAAATCTTTAAAAAATAACTCAATTTTGTGACTTGACTTTGTATTAATATTGAAAACTCGAAAATGAAGAATAATTATTATATAATCTTCAAGAGACAACTGAAGAGGAACAGGATCCATTTTCCTTCAAGTAAATTCAGAATTAACCAAAAAAAAAAAAAAAGACACTTTTCTCATATTTCCCTTGGCAAATGATTCATATAGAGTATACAGTTGAGCTTCAGTATTCATCGTCCAATATTTCTGGGTTCATTAACAGAAGTGTTAAAATTTAGTATTTTAAAGTGTTACAGAAACGAGGCCCTTCCTGGTGGCCCAGCGGGTTAAAGCACAGCACTGCAAGCTGGCCACAGCCACTTCAGTGTGACTGACCTTGGGCCCAGAGGTGATCCACATGGCGCAGCAGACCTCTCCTGTCTCACCCACTGCTCCTGGCAGGGGTGTACTTGGTCAGTCTGCCTGTTCTGTTCCCTACTCTCTGGTGAATCCTCTCACGTCCCCTGTACCTCTGGCCTGTGCTCCCGTTCTGTGTGCATTATTAATCTTAAAAATACATATATTACAGGAATAAATTACTGAAAAAGTTTAATACACAGATCTAAAAAGTTGTTTCTTTTTTATATAGGGTAAACTTAAAATTTTTAAATGTTTATTTTTATATCATTTTGTGCCTTTTTCCATCTCAGTTGTAATCCCTGTGAGTTTCCCATCACCAAATCACCCATGTGCCATCACTATATTTCAGCACACTCCCCATTTTTGATCCCATTCCCCACTCCACTCCATAAACTAGTCATTTATATGACTAGTTATATATGTGTATGTAGCTTTGTAAAGCAAATAAAAACATGACCTGTTATAGGACATTTTAACCTTTATTACTAAAAATACGGGATTCTTCCTTACCAGCATTATTGCTGATCATTGCTTATTTTAATGACGATTTTCTTTTCTACATTCCCCTATTGCTAGTCACTTTGGTTCTTTCTAAAATTGACTGTTTTGCAGAACGCTGCAATAAACATGTCTCCATGGCCACCATTTTGGTTTATCTGTAAATTAGGTAAGTTGGATCTTGTAGCCCATCTCAAATGTCACAAAGCGTGATATTCAGGTTCAGAGATCAAATGTTTATTGGTGAAAATTTACACAAATTATGTCAGTTCATATCTCTGAAGAACTGTTCATGGACTCTAATTTTTTATTGCCCAATCAGAATTCTCTGAAAATAGAGACTAGTAAGACTGCTCATCACACAGTGACCCTCCTGGCTGCCTTCCTGTCAGCAGCAGCTCTTTGTGTGAGAAAGAAAACCTTTCACCTGGAATAGTCTTCTGATACTCGTGCGGCTGAATAATTGTAGTTCAGGACTCAGCTGAATCCTTAACTTGCACAGGATAACTTTTCTGTCCACTCTAATTTTATGGCACTTGACTTTTCTACTATTAGTACAACTATGACTTGATTTCTATTTTCTATTAGTACAACAATTTAATGAAGGTTTAGATCATGTTTCATGGTCTTGGTCTTAAGGAAAATGTAACATTCTCCTTCAGAATAGCTTTAATGGAAGTGGGACATTTACATTTCCCTTTAGTTATGGGTATGTGGGTTCTTGCAGATCTGAAAGTTGCACTCTTTCATGTCTGGTGGTCAGAGTGAGATGATGAAAGAATTGTTCATTTTTTTAATCGATCAGGACTACAGAGTTTTTTTGTTCTAATTTTTACAAAAATAAGCCTTGTTTTCCAGGTTATAGTTCACAGGGAGTGGATTTCGATACCAGAGTTTCAAGTATCCTTGAACTGGAAAAACATGCCAGGTAATAAACATTTGTTTTAAGATTTATTTTATTTATTTGTACATGCAAGAACAGGTGTAGGCCAGAGGTGCAGGAGTAGGGTTGAGAAGATTCATCATAGACGGAAGCAGAGCAGGAGGATCCATGAAATGCACTGCTGAGGGAAGTGCAGGCTAGACAGGAGAGGTCAGCTGCATCTAGTGGTTAGCTCTCTGGCCTGGGATCGAACTCATGCCACAGTGGCTGGCAATAGCTTGATAACACTGAGACTTGAACCCCTGTGTCACCAGGTAGGCCCAAGTGATAAAATATTCTTAGACTGACTTTAATGGATGTTCACTTGTATAAGAAAACATGTAACTTGTCATTGAGATGTAGAATTTCAGTAACTGGTAAAGTTTCAATGGATTTTGAAGAATTATTCACATTTTAAAAGGTTTGGTTTTCTCACCATATGTATTTTCATAATTTTTGCTGCCATTGGATTGGACCGCATTCTCAAATCTTCACATAAGATGCAATCCATGTTCACATATCATGCATACCGTCCTGAGACAGTGCTGCCCTCACGTCCCTATTACTCCCGAGAAAGATTTGTTTCATTTCAGGTGATGTAAAAAAGAATGCTTAAAAGAACAAGCCCACTGTAGAAGTAGTGTCACAACTTGGCCATTTTCAGAACATAGGGAAACTTCTTCAGGCACTCTGAATTCTTCCAGTTCAATAGCCTGTATCTTGGCTTTCATTGTTAGCAGGTATATGGTTAATGTAGCTTGTTTATCAAAACATCTTGTTCTTTCTCTAGCCAGGGATATAAATAGTATCTATATTTTATGTTGTAAACAACCAAAAGGGAGAGGTTAGGTGTCTTCACTTGCTTGGTAAATGAACAAAGTCTTGGCACTAATTTCAGAGAAAACTAAAGCCAAAACAATATAGTCCAACATTGATTTGGAAGGTGTGCACATCTACTGGGTAACTTTGTCTCACATCACATTCTCTTCTCACAGAATTTATTCAATTGGCCCCTACTTTTATTAAATTCTCGTCCCCTCCCTGTCTGTGTTTATATTATGTTTTCATACTGTTTTAATTGTAATTTTTGTTAGGCATCTGGGAAAACATGTCCCTAGCCAGAAAAACAACTTCATGGGTGCTCCTACAACTAAGATACTTTCCCCTCTTCATTTCCTGGGTTTAGTTTCTCACTTGTCCTTAATGCCCATGGTTCCTAGTCATGTGACTCCTGCAAGTGATACTTCCATGGAAATTCTTCTCTTCCATATTCCACAGGCTTCTCTTAGATTTTTTTTAAACCCCTTTAATTCTCATAGGTACTGTGGCAAAATTGCTCCCATAGATTCTTTGTGGCTTGTTACATGGAATAGGAATATCCTAAGTAACAATGAGATGCTGCAGGAATGAGGTATGAATTCCAAGCTAGAACACAAAAGACTTGAGACTTGTTTTGCTTTCTTGGGTCACTAGTTCTGGGGAGAGTAAATCACTCCCCACCAGGACATACCAGCAGTCATGAAGATTAGCCGGTGATGAACTGAGGCCTCCTGCCAACCAACAACCAGTCTTGCAAAAACCAGTCTTGTAAGTGAGCCATTGGAGTCTTATTCTCTGATGCTAGTCAAGCCCAAATGACATCTTGACTAACCCTGTAAGAGATCTACGTCACTCCTAAATTACTGATTTGCAGAAACTGAGATCTAAGTACTTCCTTTTATACCACTTCATGTTTTGGTGATTTTTTTAATGCAAGAGTAGATAGATCAATACAGATTTTTGGTACCCAGTAATGAGGTGCTTCCATAAGAACCTAAAATACAGCGTTGCAATTGGTTGTTAAGATTGAGAGACCTGAAATTTCAGCCTCAAAGAAACTTTGTTTTTTATGTCATTAAATTGCTGGGTCATTAAATTGCTAGTATGTAAAGATAGAAATAATGAACATTTAAGAAGTAGTTAAATTGGAAAAGTAGGTGGATTGGGTGGATGGAGAGCCTGCTCTTCAACTCTTAAATCCAAGATATGGTATTTGATGTTAGTAACAATTGGAAATATCTGTGTTCTTAATGAGAGTGAAAGTGAAGAAAGCAGTGGGGCTGGAAAGGAGATCGTTAAAGTTTATTCAGAGCAAGTGCCCCTACGAAGGGC